GAAAAAAAAAATCACTCAATAGTTCTACCATCCAGATATCTGAGGGTGTGGCCTGAGGAGCGTATGGGAGAGGGGAGGGGTCATCTTTAAAGGTGGTGAAGAGGAGGAAGTTACCCCTTGATCATATACTCATGAGTCAAGGTGACAAACCCAGCTTCTTCCACCAGACTGCCTCCCAGCTGCTAGGTACCTTTGTATGGTATATCTGAAAGCACAGGCTGGGGCAACAGGTCCCTTCCAGATCCTAAAGACCTGGGTTAGAAGCAAGAATGAAATTTTCTTCAACAGTAGGAAGGATGCTCAAGTGTATTCAATAAGTACATGGGAAGACAGGTAAGAAGCCCAGAACCATCCATTCCTATTGCAGAAGCCTCTAGACCAGTGGTTCTCAACCTGTGGGTCGCGACCCCCTTGGGGGGTCGAACGACCCTTTTACAGGGGTCGCCTAAGACCATCGGAAAACACATATCTAATTACATATTGTTTTTGTGATTAATCTCTATGCTTTCATTATGTTCAATTTGTAACAATGAAAATAGACCCTGCATATCAGATATTTACATTAGAATTCATAACAGTAGCAACATTACAGTTATGAAGTAGCAACGAAAATAATTGTATGGTTGGGGCTCACCACAACATGTATTAAAGGGTCGCGGCATTAGGAAGGTTGAGAACCACTGCTCTAGAGTCTAGAGAGGGAGGAAAGTCCTTTTATGAAAGTTAGAAGCAGCACAATCTCGTCCAGTGGAGTCTGGAGTCTGAAGAGTCGGGTTCTGTTGCTTCCTACAGCAAGTCACACACCTTCTCTCCACTGGAGGATGAGCAGGCTAGACCAGATGACCCCTAGTTCCCTCCAGCTTTAAATTCCCTTTAGCGATACATACTTGCTCGACCTGTTTCGCTGGCCTGGAGCTCCCTCCCAGCTCCTCCCTAAGCGGCCGGGTCCGCATCCGGCACCAGAGGGCGCTGCAGAGGCCAGAGCGGCGTGCGGTGGGCGGAGTGGCAGGATCAGCGGAGCCTCCAGGAGGCGCGGTGATTGGCTGGCTCGGGC